TCCTCTCTTAGTTAAAGCTCGAAAGAAGATCACTAGCGACCTCAAAGTCAAAGATGTAGCAGAGTTTGTGGTCAACGAGTACAACATAATACAAAAGAAGAAGTTGACATTTGAGATTCTGATTTAGGGTGAGATTAAGTTCACTCAAATTAAAATATATTATTCGATTGTCATTACGGCCAAGGATGAGAGTCGGACAATCGCAAACTATGAGGCTATTGTCTTAGAGAATGTAAAACGCTCCTCGAGGATATTACCCTCCTTTCGTAAAGTTAATTAGTAACTATAATTCATAATATTTTTATAGAGGATATACGTGAATTTTATGTTGTTAATTATTATCTTCTTTCACAATAGAGAAATTGAGATTTCCCTATAAATAAATAAATAAAGTAGAAAGAGGATATGGGAAATTGCATCTCAAATGCTAAATACTTACATATATAATATATTTACCACACCATTATTAAAGAAAGATACATATTTATCTTATTTTTCGACATACACTCAAACGGGATAGAAATTGCACGAAGATACATGATTTAAGTTCTTAAACCTACTATGACGATGACTATGACTCGATACGGTTTGAGTTTTGTTTTTCATTTTCCATCAAAATTTTGTTGTCTGTAAGTATACGACAGACATAATCGAAACACTCTTTCAAGGATACGGGCTGGTGATCCATAGAGGCCGGTTAATTGATGAAAGTAGTTGTCTCACTCTCATTATCTCATACAAGGATAAGGACTCGTCTTTGAGAGTTTAGGTACTTGACGTTCCCCGTGCACATGCGCTCGGGTAATCAATCCGCTATCTATCCATCCATCTGTAATCTATTCAGATTACAAACTACCAACCGTTGGTGGGATAAGAAGAACACCCAATTAATTACTCATCGGGTGTGAGGGTGAGGCTAATTTGGGTTAGAGGCAAAATTTAGGGAAAATCAGAATTAAGAAACTGCCACAACTAACTAACCCTACGACTCAACGACACACCAACACAAGATAGGAATCTGTGCGTCGTCCAAACAAGGTGGGCAGCGGAGAGCCTCCTCCAGCCTTCTTCTGACGGCACCGAGGCTCTCTCCTCAGCCACCGCAGCAGCAGCATCAAGACCATCATCTACGGGAGCAATCCAAACGGCATCAACAAGAAGAGATAGAGAAACATCATCGTCGCAATAGCAGCAGCAACAACAACAACAACAAGATGAAGGGACTCTTCAAATCCAAGCCCCGAACCCCAGCAGACGTTGTTCGCCAGACCCGCGATCTCCTCATCTATGCCCAGCGCACCCCCGATTCCCGCGAAAGCAAACGCGAGGAGAAGGTTCCTCCCTCAATCAATTCACGTTCCGATTCTATTCTATTAAAATTTTGATCCGATTCTCTATTGTTTTTTATTTTGAAATTTTGAAACAAATCGGGATTGGTGGCGTTTTCCATGAACCAAGCAATTAATTTGGGATCACTTGAGAATGAAAGTTCTGTTTTTCTACCTTTTTTTTTTGGTGGAATCAACCAAATAGAGAAATCATAATCAAGTGCATGACTTTCTTTCAAATTAGTTTAATTTAAATGAAATCAAACTTGTTTGTTCATTGGATTTAATCAAAATTGCACGGCTTTGGATTCTTAAATAGACATAATGCGCGGTTGATTTATTAGAGCAATTTGTGTTGCGCAAGCTGATCTGTGTTGGAATTTCGTTGCTAACCAGATGTCAGAGCTATGTAAAAACATCAGGGAGATGAAGTCCATTCTCTACGGCAATAGTGAGTCCGAGCCTGTCTCAGAAGCTTGTGCTCAATTGACCCAGGAGTTTTTTAAAGAGAACACGCTTCGACTTCTCATTATGTGTCTTCCCAAATTGAACTTGGAGGTAATTATCAATCCCTTCTTCTCGCACCTTCTCTTGTCTTGTCTTCAATCTCATTTGCTCCATTCGGGGTTGACTTTCTGCAGGCTCGAAAAGATGCCACTCAAGTTGTTGCAAATTTGCAAAGACAACAAGTTCAATCCAAGTTGATTGCATCTGATTATTTGGAAGCAAACATAGATTTGATGGATATTTTAATCCAAGGGTAAGCGACTATTCACAAGGACTTGGGATACTCCGTGTCGGTGCTTTTATATTGCAATGTTTCTCTTTGGTCCTTACAGTCCATGCATTGATTTGCATATGTTTACTTTGAAAAGTTATCTTTTAATTGACACTGATTTTCAATGGTGTTCTATATGTGTCTAAATATTTCAATCACGGAAACCTATGAACTCCCCAAATTTGAGATACATTGAAATACTTGTTACTAATGACCTGCTGTGAAATTCTGTAGAAGATCTGTAGTATCTTCTTCTTGTGTAATGATTACATGTAGAAGTTCCTTTGCTTGGGCCAGTAAGTGGTTGTCAAAAGATGTTTTCACAAACATGCTGAGTTAGGTTTTCAGGCTTCTTTGGGATTCATTGGACTTTGGAAACAAAAAGAGAGGACAATGTTGTTGACGCTTGGGGTGTCTCAGTTACATCTTTACAATTTTTTTATTTTTTTTGCAGCTCATTAGATTGAAAACATTCCAATTATTAGTCTGTTCTTTGCAAATCACTCTTCACCTTAAAATAACGGTCCCAAGCTCTTTTCTTTTTTCAAATTCTTTTTTATTTTACGTAAAAGCGGGGCAGTTGCATGTTTCAAAAAGTATCTCATCTTAATTCACTTTATAATCTTTTGCTTCTCATTATTGCATTCCACATCTTTTAGGTATGGAAACACAGACATGGCTCTACATTATGGTGCAATGCTGAGGGAGTGCATACGCCACCAAACCGTTGCAAGGTGAGCAAAATGAACCTCATCCATTGGTCAACTTCAGACTTGACTGTATTGCTGCTCGAGATATTATTAAGTGGGAAATGGAATGTTTGGATCATTTAGTAGCTTAAACTCATAGCTTTCTTCCACCTGAGGTGTATCTTATTTATCTTTTATCTTACGTAATTGCCTTTCAAACATTTCTGTTTTGATTGCAGATATGTTTTGGAATCAGAACACATGAAGAAGTTCTTTGATTATATACAGCTCCCCAATTTTGATATTGCTGCAGATGCTGCTGCAACTTTTAAGGTGAGTTAGTTTGGCCGAACCATTCATATGTTTATTTTTGTAACAATATTTACACTCTCCGATTCAGACAATAAAGAATCTTTACACTTTTAGAAGTTACTGCACGGTTTTGCAGCCCTTGGGATAAGCTGAACACTCAAAATGCTGCTTGCTTTGTCCTTCATGCATGTGGGAAATGTTTGATATGTTCTGCTTCCCTGTTTAATAGTAGATAATCCAATATTGCAATTATTGATCCACAATGTTCTTATCCAAAATTTTACAGGGAGCCTGATATAGCTGTACTGTGGATTGCTCATATAAAATATAAGAACAATTTATTTTTTGTATTTTAAATCATTGAGGGTACATTTTACCACCACTTCTTCGACTCATGTACTTGTCTGGTTGCAGTTGCACTAGAATCATTCTGAAGTTCTGTAACATCTCCTTGCAGGAACTCCTGACGAGGCATAAATCTACTGTAGCAGAATTTCTTTCCAAGAACTATGACTGGGTAAGGGGTTTTTTCATTTTCTTTTGATATACAGATGATGTGTGTATTCATTTATGTCCATCCATTTACACACAACATATGCATGTGGACAATAAGAAACATGTATCGGCATTTGATTGAATAATTACATTAGAATTACTTCAAGGGAAAGGAAAATAAGAACTTGGAAAGAGCATATAAATGTCACAATGGCTTATTTCGTTTTCTTTGTTGTGTTTCGGTAATTTTGTTTTGTTACTCATATGTATTCTGACATTTTTTGTTTCTGGACTTGCTGTTGTTGCTGCCTTTGTTATATTATCACGGTTTCTCATTAACTGGAACTTGATAATTTTATGCCAGTTTTTTGCGGAGTACAACTCAAAGCTTCTAGAATCCTCCAATTACATTACCAGACGGCAAGCTGTCAAGGTATGATAAATATTCGACCTTAAATAGCCATCTCTTAAGTCGCATGACGCCTTAACCTCGGAGTGCC